GATCTTTTCATTATAATCATCAAAATATAGGCACTAATATGTTACTTTTTAAAATTTAAAGACCAAAACAATATGCACATCAAAATTTAGAAATCGTAAAATTAATTTATTTTATAAAATATATTATAAATATACTAATTATTAATATTTTATATGACAAAAATATAAAATTATCATATTACCATTGTCTTGTGTCTTTGGTAGGAATAAGAAAAAAAATCGAGAAATATGAAACCGATTCGAAATTATAGTGTTCGATTCGGTTCGATTTGGATTAATTTTTTTCTTATATAATTCGAATTAAGTTCGGATATTACATATATATATTAAGTTTAGATTGGATTTCAAATTGAGAGGTAAAAAATTGAAAACAGTTGAACCGAACCGAATTATATATATATTTGTTTTTATATATATACATTTTAATATTTTATAAAATAAAAATAATAATTTTATATCAAAATCTACTTAAATATATTAAACATTAAAATAACATATAAAAGTTAAAAAAATTAAAAATTAAAAATCGATAAACCGAATCAGTAAAATTTGGTTTGGTTTGGTTTGGATCGAATGAAGATTCATTTCGAATTTGGATCGGATTTTAAATTTTTATAATATTATGTAATATTCAAAAAAATCAAACCGAATTCGATCTAAACCGAATCATTATCACTCATACTCTATGGTTTGATATGATATATCAAAAAATTCATAGAGAAATATATTATAAATTAAAGGATGTGTCAAATAATTCTAATTTAAAAAAATTAAGAGATCACAAAATGTTAATACGATATGTAAATAAATAATAAAAACTTTAAAATAAAAATTAAATGTATCACATTCAAATTATTCAAAATGATACTTTTTCAAACCTTTTAGTTTTAACATTCTTTATTAATAAGATCATTTATAATTAAAATTAAATAATATTAATTTTACGAATCCAAGGTTATTTCATGTTTAATTTTGATTGGGGACATGCAGCTCCTAAACAAAAGCACATGGAATCTATTTAATAACCACTCTAGCATAGTAGGTGTTAAATTCCAAATATTTCCCATTGACTAATTTTCATGAAGCAAGACTTGAGAAGTATCCTAAACAAGTAAGCGCATTCATTACCGTGTCTTGTATAATGAAAAGAATTTCATTGCAGACATTAGCACTTAAGATGTCTGATTTGAACATACTTTTCATCATGCAAGACATTGTACTGAGTGGGCTTGCTTGTTACCTAAACAAGAATGCTATTTGAGATAAAAATCAAATTCGGTAGGGATGACAAATGCTTGTATTAACAATCATCTCATCAATAGTTTTCTCATTAAACCTAAACATATTTATTTATGAAATAAGAGGAAAAGGAATTACGACTTTGTTTATAAATTTCTTTTTTGCACATATTTGTATATAGATATTGATTTTAAAATTTAAAACATTTTTCATTTTATGTTGAATATATAAATCGATAGTCATATGCGTATATTTATACAAATTACTTATGCATATTTAAGAACTTGTTAAATATTTCAAAATTGTTTACATGCCTAACAACATATAACAAAAAATGAGATTAAAATAATCACATTATCATATATACATATTTGGTAGGTTGTGTATATTCTGGATATACATATCTATTAAGCTTTTATGTTACTGGATATGTGTATCTGATAATTTATAATTGTTTTTGGTTGTGCGTTTTGATAAATTAAAATATTTATTGAAATGCATATTCGGACACTTTACGTTATCGGATATGCATATTTGATAACATAAAGAATTTACCGAATATACGTATGTTTGATAATGTAATATTATTTCTAGATATGCTTACCTGGATGTTTTGAAAAGAAAAGGATAAAAATGGTGTATAAAAGGGTAGAAAAGTAATTTGATAAAAGATAATTAAATAATTTTATTTAAAAATAATTTTATAAAAAAAAGGTGTGAAGAGCTTTAGTGGGGTTTTTTAAAAGCACCCTTAGCAAAATGGGTTTTTTTAGATATTTTGGTTTGCTGTTATGATAATAGTAGTAATAGTGGATTCAAGATTTTTATCCATAGTATTTACTTATAATATATATATATATATAATTATCAATAAAATTATCAATTTTATAATATAAAACATATCAAAGCAAAAAAATATCTTTTAAATTTTCTTAATTTTTTAATTTTAAAATGTTCATAAACGTTTTAATGAAACATGTAAATCCACCTCTAAGTAGTAATGCATATACTATGAAGGGCGGATGATAATAGTGGCCCCCCCTCAAAAATTTTGAAACCCCTATTAGCATTTCTATATTTATATTAAATACATCTAAATTGATCCTGTAAACTAAAAGTGTTAATTTTATTATTTTTTGTGTTTTATAAATTAATTTTGTCCATTGTAATTTAAAAGATGTTCAAATCACATTGATATTTGTTTAGTTGTTATATCCAATAGTTATTATTTGTAAATTCTTAAAATTAAGAGATTTGTCATAAATTTTAAATTACAATCAAAATGAGCTTAATAAAATTTAAATTAATATTTTAATTTTCTCAATAAGATTTAAGTTTTCAACCAATTGCCAAATATGCTTTTTCTTTTTTTTAGTACAAGGTCAAAGTTAAAGAAATTTAAGAAAAAGAAAAAGGAGATTTAGTTTACTACAACTCCTTTTCTTCGTGTATGTGTGTGTATATATGTGTGTATTTATTTATTTATTTTTACTTTAATCTCTATCGCATGTTGTTGTAGTTCTTTTTTCAACAAAAATAATATTGTAACTAATTTACAAAATGATGGAAAAATAATAAATTTTTAGTCTCAAAATTTCATCTTCATTCTTTTAAAAGAATATTTAGTTTTTTGTTTTGATAAAATGTTTGAATATAAGTGATTTATTCATACATTTTTATTTCAATTTTAAATTATCAAAAAATAAAAAAATTCTCATAATTCATTTATAGATTGTGTAATTACTAATTCAAAAAATTAATTGTAAATCTTGTGTTTGTTTTATGTATAATGTTGTCATAGTAATATTTTTGTTTTATAATTTCATAACTTATCATATTTTTATTAGTATATTGTTTGCATATTTATATATTTATATTTATAAATATGAGCTTAAAAAAATATATTATATAATATTAATTAATCCTTCAAAATTATATATCAAGATTCGTTACTGACTATAAGAAGCTTAGAAGATGCTATGTAAAATTCGGATCCGGAGGACTTATATGGGGATTTTGGGTTCAGAGAGCTATCAAAAACTATAGAAAAGGATTTGGATGACGGCAAATTAAAATCAAAGTTTTCATGTGGAGAATAAGTCATGGGATTCTATTAGTCATGGTTAATCTTGCAAACCGCGGCTACAGGTGGAGAGAATTCTAATAATAATAATAATAATCTCAACCTTCGTTCAATTTGTGCAAGTCAAAATATTTTTTAATTACTCTATAAAAGAAGTCATGCCCTCTTTGTCCTTTTATTAGTTTCTAAGTTTGATTTTTTGTGCTTAAAATGGATTAATCTGACCTTTTCAAATTTTAAATTATTATTCATTTAAATTTGAAAATTTTACTCTTAAAAACTTTTAAGATAATATATAATTCCTACTTTTAAAATGAAGAAAATTCATTTATATTTGTGTAAAATTAAATAATTTTATACCCATTTATGACCTTTGATTTGATTTAAGTAAATAAATTTGAAAATTTTACTTTTTAAAAAGTTATCCAAATAAATTTAAATAAGCATTTTTTAGGAGTTACATTATCCAATTAAGAAGATTTTAACCAAAAAATTGAATATTCTATAACAACAAGGTTTTAATCACAATAAAATAAAAATTAATAACCTTAATTTCATAATTGAAGGCTTATTTTAATTTTTGAGTAAAATTTAAAGACTTATTTAAATATTATATTTTGATATAAACTTATTTGAATATTATATATATCCATGTAATCTTTTCTTTTAATCCCTACGGTTTTTTTTTTCTTTTTTTAAATCCAAGAGGTGTCTGGTATTATTCCTACATATCTAATGCATTTCAAATATATCAAAGATACTTTGTAAAGGTTTTGGAAATTAATTAAAAGACATCTTACCCGACGGAAATTTTTACAAAACTTAAAAAGAATGTAATTATTAATTACATGAGAATCAGTAACGAAATTTTACATCTAATTTTGAGAAGGCCAACTGCAATTATATATATTTTTTCGTTTGAAGTATTTTATTAAATTCCTTTAATATAAAAGTTATATTCTAGCAATATGCTAATAAAAAATAACAAAATCATATAATTATAAGTTTTGTCAATTCATAAATAAAAATATAAAAAATAAAATACATCAATTAAATAATTTAAAACTAAAAAATACATAAAAATAAATCAATTGTTAACATAAATTAATATATTTTTAATCAAAACCAGCAAAATAAAATATATCTTTAAAAGAATGAAATTGAAGCAATTTTTTTATCTAAAGAAATCCCAAACCCAAGTGATAAAGAAATTGAAATTGTAAACGAAGTCGTACAGAAATTTTAATTTTTCTTAAATGATTGCATAAAATTAGATTACAAAAAAAATAACAAATAAAACTAATTAGCAATATTAATTTAGGAATTCTTTAAATTTATATATATATATATATATGTGTGTATATATATATAAAAGAGGTTTTCAAAAATTTTGGGGGCCATCCGCCGGTGATGAGAGCATGTTCGAAGAATATTATACAATTAATCTCTTAGAAACCAACCAAAATTTTCATGAAGAAAAAATAAATTGACAAAGAATTTGCAATAATGGAAAGCCTCTAATGAAATCTACAGGCTTCCATTACCAAATTCTGAGCATTGATATTACATTCACACTGTGTTTAATTACCAATCATCGAAATCTGTCCCCAAAGGCTCCAAATGTTTTTTTATTTTTCGTTCAACATAAATTAAAATAATGAAGCAATGAAAGAATGAATTAATTGTAGTCAAAGCTGTTCGCACGAAGGTATTTGAGCTGCAAAGAAACCTGCCTTTCCATCTGAAGTTGTCTATGAAAATTTGCTATGAACATCTCAGCTCTCTTATCAATATCGTCCTCCGATGGACAACTTGTTGTCCGAGCGAGTCTCCTAGAATGAGAACCCGAATCATCAGAATCATAGTCGTCCGCACATGCCCTCAACCCTGGCCTATCCGAGAAGCTCAGCCTCCGGCTGCTCGGAGAAGCACCAATCATGGAAGCAATACGCCATCGATTCATATTGAAATTTAGCAAGAATTTGACCTTCTTCATGGCCCTCCTCAGGCGGCTAAGCAAAGACCACTTTTCCATGGTATATAAGCTATAAATTGAAGATGTTAATTCGTTTGCAGATCGATGAAGAAAAAAAAATATTGGGTGTTGCAAGGTGAAGGTTCAATTTGTTGGGCGAGGCTTAATATATTAGTAGAAGATAAGAACAAGTGGTTTATGGTAGGGGCTTTTTACAAAGAGTGAAGGAAAAGAAAGCTGCTGGGTAAGTTTGAAAGAAAAACAAAAATGCTCACAAAAATGGAGTTCCGTGTAAGGGTGACGGCAACACGTTGGAAATATACGCAAGATTAAGAGCATATATTTGGTCAAAAGTTTGATTGATTCTATTATTATAATAATCCTGTTAAGCATGTAAGTTACTTTAAGGAATAACATGAAAACTTCTTTATACAAAATAAAGTTGGCAGCCTGAAACTTGACAACTAATCCACTAACGGTTCATTTGGATTCTACTATAGATGCGGTGGAATCTAAAAAGATTTTGGCCCCCAACTGCATCGACGGGTTGAATTTGGATAGCACCCCAACCGTGCAATTGGGGCCAAATCCTTCACTGCTCCTTCAGTCTCCAATTGAAGGGGAAAAAATTCAGTAAATTACTGGATTTTAGAGCAGTGGATTGTTTTAGAGTAAAATTGAAAAAATAACAGGATTTTTAATTATGGTAGTTGATTATATTTGATTCGTACTTGATTATCATATCCAATTTCATCATCATTGTTATGTTTGCTTTCAATCATTGATTTAATCTTATCATTATAATATATTTCACCGCCATAATACCTAATTTTTCTATTATCATTATTTTTAATTTTGAAAATCAATTTCATCGTTCATCTAAATGAATTTTAAAATATACAAACAAATATATATAAAATTTTTTATACAAAGTAAAGTAAAATGAATTCTTTTACCAATAGCTCTGTCAGTTTTCACTTAAAATTAAAGTTGTCTGGGCATCTTACAAAAAATCCTATCAAAAATTTTTTTCTTTAATAAGTTTGTTGATAAAATCCACTAAGATGGCAATATAAACTGAAAAGGGGTATGTATAATTTAATACTTGGAATCAGTATTTGTAACTAATCCACTCACTTCGAGAGCCTTAGCCACCAATCTCATCAGTAAGTAGATTAGCAGTTGCTTGTGATTAACCTTTTTTGTATACTATAATAATAATAATAATAATTAATCCATTCTGGTTCTCGTTGCCTGCGTCGGCTGACTCAGTCTGCTAAGCTGTGTTTCCTAGTAAACCTCCCCGTGATTTGATTCTTGAGTTAAAAGTTCAAGACTCCAACCTCCGAGCCATTGGTCAACTCTCTAAATCTCCTGATTAATGGCAACCAAGAAGTTATTGATTGGGTTAAGAGCAGAGTCTTCTTGCTTTAAGAAAAAGTTTGACTACTAAAAAAACCAAAACGTTTAAATGTATCAATTTGTTTGCATAAAACAAATAGTGCAGTTGCTTTGTGTAAAAGTGTTACCCGTTTGAATTGTAGCATTGGTGGGACGCAACCACTCACTTAAGCTACAAGAAAAAAAGTTTGATAAGGGAAGTGGAATGTTTAAGTACACGACAGTTCTAGAACTTATAAGGGTTTGCTTGGTTGGTTAACACACCGTAGATAACATTCGATACGAGGTGATTGTTCTAAAATTTACGATAATTTGTACTCATTATTTATTATAAGAAATCATATATTTAAGACTAAAGTTTATGTTATGTTGTAAATAATTGCTATTACTTTAACAAATTTTGCACGAAAAATAAATTTTCATTAGCATTTGATAACATTTCAAAAAATCTTACATGATAATGATCTTAAATCATTGGGTGATAAAATCGTTGTTTGGAAAGAATGATTTGATTTGTATTTAAAGGATGAAAAAAATTTTATTGTTGTCAGGAAGTAAGCTTTAAAATTCTATTATAATTGAATAACGGGAATGAAAACATATTTCCTTATATAAATTTTATCTTTATAAGCACACCTCCAAGTTATTAACTATAAAAAAAAAGTAAAATTAGTTTATTTAACTAGTTAATTCTCATGTTGCTATCAAACACTATGATTTAATTTTCTATAGAATGATGAATTGTTATTTATAAATTATAAATTTAATAAAAATTAAAATTGTTGTATTCTTTTTATAAAATTATTTTGATCATTTTATATTCAATCAATTTTTATGCAATATCAAACAATGTGATTTAAAATCACGTATGATTTTTATTATTACACCAAACATAATATTTTAAGATCACTAATGATCACATTACTTCAATTTTAAGTCATTTTTTTCGTTGGAGTCATTAAATTAAAGCAATTTCGGACTGGAATAGTTTATAAAAATCGGATTAGATTGATTGATTGAATCAATTTAAATGAGATGGTGGACTAACAGATTTAAAATGGAAAGTCATGATTGAATAGATTTTTTTTCCTCATAATTACAAGATATATTTTGTTGGTACTCCTTACATATAATGAAAAAAATTATAAGATCAATTTTGGAGTTTTGATCCTTTGAATTAGTTCCATAAAAGTTATCAGAAATTTTGGCGTAACTTAATTATAATTAGTTTTGGCGTATCAGAGTTTGGACTAGACATGCAAAATTAGTTTATTATTAAATATTTACTTATTTTATTTTAATTTTAAAGTATATCTTTAAATATTAAAATAATAATATTTATATATAATATTAAAATTTAAATTAAATTAGCATTACTGGGTAGGCCGAGTCATGTCCTGGGCAAGCCATAAAAGCGGCTTAGCTCCAATCGATTGGGCTCAATTTATGAACACTTTTAAGAATATTAAATACGTCGATTTTGTTTTCAATATCTCATTTGTCAAATTTAAAATTTTTATTAAAAAGTTTATTTCTTGTAAAATTTTATAATTGTGGTTAAGTCACATCTAAATTCTGTGTTAACTTTAAGAAAATGAAGTCTTTGGTATCATAATTATTGCTTACAAATCATAAAGGATGTAAACACTTAATTTTATTGGAAACAATTGTATTTTATTTAATTTTTTATCTTGATTCAAACATGCTAAATTTAGGCCTGTTTAAATATTTTAATTGAACTTATTTTATTGGGTTTAAATGAGTTTTGTTTCAAATCAATTTTTATTGATTCATCTTGCATGCAAAGTTGGTTTATTTTGTGTAGGTCAAAATCAATGTTAGATCATTTTCCAATTTAATATCCAATTATAAAGTTTGAAGCTCAAAGACAAAATCAATTGGGTTGGAAAGCCCAAATTCCAATTTCAAAGGCCTAGAACTCACATTAAGCCCAAAAGTCCTTTCTTCAATTTAAAAAAACAAAAAGGGGGGGGGGGGGGGGGGGGGGGACTCAACCATAAGGTATCATACAAGAAATGGTGCAGAAAAGCTACGGAACTTTCAACTTCACACAAGTCTTCAATTAAACAGAAATTCGAAGTTCAGCCGAACCAAGTCCACTTTCTAATTTATAGGGGCCATATTCATAGTTATGCGTGTACGTTTTCGGTAGGCCCCTCTGATTTCTTTTCTCTCTCTCATGCAATGAAAGACGTAACATGCCATGATTGATGATTATCACTAGTTTTGCCAATGAAAGGTCTTACTTAAAGTGATTTAATGATACCTAAAAATGTGAAGTCTAATAGAGTCGTACATGATAGGTTGTGGCAAGTATATGATGTCCTTATTTGCTTGGATGTGTGGAGTTAAACAATTTTGTGCTTTGAGTACCAAACTCCAATGTATATACTTGAGTAGAGGCAGATAAAAGTATAAAGTAAAATGTTCGTAAACACTTTTAAATTTTTTTAAATAATTTTTTTCAAATAAATTGATTGATAATTTTTTATATATTATAAAAAATATAACAAAATTTTTGAATCCGTCCATTTTTTTGGACCCCGAGTAAACGACCCTACCAGTGCCACATGTATTTTTGCTCTATTGTACTGTTATTTGTCAAGATAAGATGGGAGGTTGTTGAAAAACAAAGAGCAAGAGTTTAGATCTCTGCATCCCACAACTTAAAGAACCTGAGTGCTGACACCTAAGCTTCCAACATCAACGTGTCAAATTCTAGGGTCAACTTGTGCTACTCTTGTGCTGCCCCATATCATATGGAAACCCTACTTTCTATTCTCACGCAAAGAGTTTTGTCCTTTTCCTGATCCTTTTTTCTCTGCTGTCTTCTCTTCTCTTAGCTCTCTTTTAAAAGCTGAAAAGAGACTCCATTTTACGCATGGCACCCTGCATTACTGTATTGCCCCATCTATCTTCTTCTTTCCATTTCCTTTTTCCTATTATACATACAGCTAGCTGGAAGACTAACATTGCATATATATCCTAGCTAGAGAGAGATGATGATAAAAATCAATTTTATTATAAATCTGATGCAGATATAGGCCTTTTTCATTTTATAACCTATCACATTAATGTCGGAATTTAAATATAAATTTAAAATCCTAAATTCTAATCATACATTAAAGTGTTTTAATCTTATAATATATAATTATCATATTACTCTTTGTTTCAAATTGAGAGTTCATATTTCACTGACACTTTTGAGAGTATGGTGTTTATCATACCAAAAAATAATATATATTATCTTACCCATCGTCAGTGGATAATTAAAAAAAAAATTACACTTTCAATTTATTCAAAACAAGCTTATATATATTAAAGAATTAATTATTTCAAATGTAGAAAAAAATAAGAGCAGTGTTAAAACATGTTACGGATATAGTTTTGGAACAACTTGAAGATAAAAATGTAAATTCAATTTAGTATTATTTACTCTAGAATATCTTAAGGTGTTGTTATACATGTGAATTAAGGACATATGCATTTACATCTTGCCTTAAAAGGATCCATTTATTAGTTGATAGAGATAGAGTGATTCTAGTCTTTAGTGAAACCAGCGTACTATATTGAAAAAACTGTAAGAAATATGTGATGGAGATTAGACAGGAGATTTTTTTATGGATGATAATATCAAA